TTTAGGTTTTGCAATTGGTGGAATTTATCGAATTGCACAGACTCCTGGGTGCCACCCACGTCACTTTGTATAACGATACTATAGGCGCGGCAGCCAGCTGTGCGCTGAAATATTACGAGAACAAGGATCTGGTCACTGTGTTACCGTGGCATCATCTCGACATGATTTCCCAACGGGAAATTCGCACCGAAGGTCTCTTCGCGGCGCTTAACGATTGCCTCTACCGATCTATGTACAAGTACGAGTACGTGGCGCTCGTAGATCTCGACGAGTATATTATACCGAGGCATAACGACACTATAATCGATCTGTTACGGTATGACACATTTGACCTTAATAAACTTTATAGTCAATACATTAAGGTAAATAAGATATAACATATCTGGAGTGAAGATGAAAGATTTAGTAACGATGTCATAAGATGATAATATGTAAATTTTATAAATAAGCGTTAATATTTTATGAAAAATCCGTTTCTAGGTGGATGGGAAATCGAATTAACATCAAGTCCACGGGCGCATTTTCTTTTCAAAATGCCTTTTTCTACCTACAATGGGCCGATGATCCATTTGTGGTAACTAGTCGTACTCCTACCGAGGCCGGTTTAATCACTCTGAAGAAAACACGGCGCAGGGCCAAGTTACATCCGCACAAGCAACGCTCCAAGTATATCTGTAAACCGCAGGACGTGGTGGAGGCTGGTAATCATTTCGTCTGGGAGTTTATTCCGGGTCATGGTACCCTGAATGTGCCTTCCGACGCCGCGATCTTGCACCATTATCGTGTCTGCGAATTTGGCGGCGACGACTGTATCAAGACACAGTCGACGATTGATAGAACGGCCTACAAGTATAGGGAACGGCTTGCCACGAATGTGGACAGGACGTGGATGGAACTGCGCGCCGAGTGCTCGCTTCCGGAACTTGATCCAGTCCCAGCGTTGACACCGCGAATCAAAGCCAGCCCCCTAGACAAATCGGTCAGGTAGCGAAAAACCATCGTTGAGATTCTATGGGACAATTTTACCGGCACGCCGAAAGTTGCGAGGACCTATTTCTACAACTACGGCGGCCCTTAATTTTCTCAAACTGAGCTAAGCGAACTCTCGTCTTTTTTTTTTTTTTTATAAAATTCTCACTGGACCGTGTTTTTAAATTTGCGAAACAGGAGAATACGCTTACCAACGTGGTAATAGAGATTGTCGTGAAAATAAAAAAGTAAAGAGAAAAAACGAAACGCGAATTAATCATATTTTTCTACGTGACGGCTTCTTGAATGGTTAGCAAAATTTGGAAACAACCTGCCAAGTCTGTCGAGTTTGACGCTAAGATAGTGATGCTTCTCTCTTACAATTTTATACAAACTCTTATATCTGTGTCTTACAGTTTTTTTTGTTCATGCAATAAATGTGATCATCTGCGACAGATTGTATTATCGTTAAGAAAGATTGTTACGGAAGGCCTAAATTACGGGCTAGATGAATGAAGTTGGTGATAAACGACAAGTAACACTAAATATTATTCCTATTGTACCGTTATTTCGAGGGTTAAACCTTTTTTTAGATACTTGTAAATCCACACAACGTATCTTATGCATATCCATAGAATCAATAATTAGCATAGTAATATATGTATAATATGTATTTAGGTCTGTTAGAAATTAAATCTGCAAAGACAGCCTAGAATACAATATGTTCTGGAAAAAAACATTACTTCAGATACAATCCATTGAAAATTTTAAAATCCAATACTAGAAAAAACACAAATTTTTATTTAAACAAAGAGAAATATCAAATAGAATGTTTTTCTCAATTCTTCCAAGATATTACAAATTTGTTTCAAGGAATAGAATCTTTATTTCCTTCAGCGTTATGCCAAGAAGAGGTTAAATTTATTTTAAGGATCTTGCTGGCTCACTGCAGCCATGTTTAATTTTATATAATTAAGGATTAATTATATTTGATCAAGAAAAAAACAATTTAATTTTACATATATTGTTATTTATGATTTGATTACCAAAACAAAAGAATGTTTTGCAAGTTTGTTCTATTAATTAAAAATATTGTTATGATGAAAAATATTTTAATATATTTGTTTATTATCCTGCTTCTGACATCGTTAATTCAAGATAGCTTCACTGAACCAACAGCAACCTTGATATAAAATTAAATTGAATTCATTTATTTTTACTCAGATATACAATATCTTTTTATACACAGAAGTATAAATGGCTTTGTGATACAATATATATTATGCAATTCGTCCGCGTTTGCAATTGTCTTTAGTCGAAAAAATACATTAAAAATTTCACACAATGCGAAATGAACTTTTTATATCTAAATGTTTTTTAAAACAAGATAACAACATAAAGAATATTGATTTTGTTGCGTAAAATTCTATGATTACTAACTCTCATTACTAACAATTATTTAAGTAACAAACATCGAAAATTTTCGTTGGATATATACAAGTAAATCAATGGTGAGACTTGAAAGAATTGCACAAGGGAATTTGATAGAAAAATTAAATGTTTGAAATACAATTTACGAGATGATAAAAAAAAGATTTTTTTCTCATCAACTGAATTGATACTTGTAACGCTGCTGTGGCAGATTTAATATGAAATAATATGAAAAGTCTTTCTATTTATTTGTTAATACAAAAGAATTATGTTTCTAACGCATATACAAGTTTATGTATATATGTGTATACATGTATACGTACACGATATGTACATGGAATGTAAAATAGATTTAAGGTACATGTGATTGGTGCTGAGCTATAGTATCGACGATGTGTCGATACTGATGATTATGTTGACGAAATTAATAAATATAATACTAGGATAATATGTATTTTAATTTTCTCGAATTTCCATTATTTTCACATTATTTTTTAAAAAACTGACAAATTACATTAATTATTATTTATTAATGTATTGTTATAAAAGCATTAAAAAAATGTGTATAATGCTAGGGAGTGATGTTAATTGGGAATGAAAAATAGACATTATTATATGTATTAAAATTTATAACTGTTATATAACAATTTGTTATATATTGCAACTTAATTAACTGAATTATTTATTGAGTTAACCGAGTTATTTTATTAATAATAATAATAATTTTTTGTAGCATAACAATGACAAGCTGCTTCGATCAGTATGTCCTATTTTATTAATTTGTTAAAGACATCTTACTCATTAAAAATCATCATCCGAATGCCTTTCTATTTTACTGACGGCTCGCTTTTCTTGAGCAGCTTTGAGATTATAGTTGCTCATATCCGGTGCACCTACGGAATTCAGAAGATCTTCATCGTCATCATCATCATCATCATCATCAAGATCGCCGTCAATCAATAAATCGCTATCACTGTCCAACGAGCCTTCGCTGTCGTTTGATTCCTGAATCGTACCCCTTTGTCGTCCAGACATACTACCGTAAATGCGCCGCTGAGTATATTGCATCTTTGACGCTCTCCCAGTAGCTGGAATATATTTTTAATTATTTAAATTATTATTATAAATTATAATTTAGTTATTTAAAAAAAAATCAATTTAACACATATCTATTATACTGAAATATTTTGTATTTGATTTGTATTGATTTTCAGAATTATGATATATATCGTATGTTATTTTTTATTATAAAAATCATTACTTGGTTTAACATGGGCAGATTGACCAGATTTTTCTGTCGCCGTGGCGTCTGGATTTGTAAGAGATGTAACTAGAGGTTCCTGAAGATTCGTAGCGAATATAGAATCGTTTCCTTCTATCATGCTCTCGAAGCTGGAATCCTCAGCTCTCATTTGTTCCAGTTGCTTCTTGGTTGCAGCTTGTCTACAATTGCGAATAGTATCGTGTAACGTGTAATTCTATGTTCTTTACGATATGTATCTATAATGTATATATAATATTATTGACAAATACCGTCTTTCAAATCTCTCTTGTTCCATCTTTGCCGCGTCTTCATACAAATGTTCCAAATACGCTAGATACCGGAATTTCTGTAAATAATCATCGTACAAAGCTCTGAACTCGACTTCGAGCTTCTCGAACTCCTCCATGAATGCTGGACGGACTTTCTTCAATGTATGCAGTCTCTTTTGATTTCTATCGAGCTCCGTTCTCCTTCTCTCAATTCTCGCATCCAAGTTCTGTTCTGTATCCTTCAAAATTAAATTATATTATGATACATCCCAAAACCCAAGCATTGTGTTTACAAAAAAATGTAAAAGATATATAAATAAATATAAATATAATTGTAATTACATTTATCCATCAGTAAAATTACCATTACATCATGGATGGAACATTTCATAAACGAGTAATTGAAAATTTCAAACAAATTATTTTATCAGAAAAAGACGAGAAGAGGAGCCTTGTACCTTGACATTGTCGATCTGCTTTTTGGTCTCGTCGATCTCTTTGCGCGTGCTCTCAATAACATCTTTTAGCGCTACTTCTATCTCCGAGGTGTCGAACTGCCTCGCGATTTTGACATTGCGAATCTCGCGAAGTTCCACTTCTCGTCCGAGTAAGTCGAAGAGGGTTGCCCCGTTGATGGTCAACTGGCTCGCCAGCTGCCGTGTTGTTTTCAACTCATTAATTTTATCGGATATGTCGAAATTCATTGCGTTCTGATTACCGCCCGACTGATCTTGTTCAGTACTGCTACTGTTTTGTGCGTCATAAAGCAGCGCAGCAATCTTCAACATCTCTTTCACCGCATAGCCGTCGGCTTGATATAGCTTCTTTGTATTTAACTTTATATTTGTTTTCAATGCCTGGAATGCATAGGGTATGTTAAACTAATTTCTACAACAAAAAAAAAAAGAAATTGAGAGAACAATTTCCAATTGATGAGGGAACTCTAGAAATAAGAATAATGTTCAGAAAATGAAAGCATCTTTTGCTTAAGGCTCCTGACTATTCAGTTAAAAACTCCGCATTGACAATAGCGACGTACCGTCGCGGTGAAAAAATAGCTCATTCATCCTTGTTCATCTCATTCTTGTTCTTCATCTTTACATAAGTGACGTGCGGGTAACGAAATTTTACGCTACGCTTTATTACATTTATTTTGTGCTTAATCGTGAAAACGTGAATTGTTGTGAGCTGTTTATCAACGTCGTAAAAACGGAACACTACAAAAGTTATCTTTCGATTTTATATGTGAAAGCATATTTTTCACAGCTCTTTCAACAGCTGTCAAATCGTGCCGGAATAGGCTTCATTTCATGTGCCTTTTATGACTATTTATTGACTGTCAGGAGGGAAAAAGATTGTAACGTTCCGTTTTTACAAGTGTCTTAAAGTCATCTCAAGTGTTATTTTATTACAACGTCTCTTTATTTGCAGGAAAAGTGTAGGAAATTTTTATGTGTCGTTTCTTATGACGTCCAATTCCAATATGGCCGCGATGACTAGTCAGGAGCCTTAAATTTATTATTAATATTATATCTGTCTTGTATAAGATCAGAATTATTTTAACTACATTTCAAGATTTTATGTATAAAGTGAATAAAGAATGTGATGTTTTAATCTAAACAGATGATAATGTAATCTCATTAAACAACTTATCAAATTTAGAGATCAGACAGGAGAAACTTGATTGAGGTAAAAAATCTTACATTATATATAATGTTTAAATTTCATTTACCATAAATTCAGCGATACTACGTATTAATGCCACACGTTGTTCCTCGGTGTCATGATCGCTGAGCATATCAACATCCGGATCGAATCGTTTAACCAGCCAGATCAAAATTTCTGCGACAAGGGGAAAATTCGGCACGCGAAAATTCGCGATAGAAATTAACCTGGGATAGCCCAGCACCCTCATTATCTCCGTGAAATCTATACAAGTAGACGAAAAACAGTCGTATCATGGCTATACTTATTATATCTATTAATAATATAATTTTGATATCATTTACATACTGCGTAGGTCTCGGTAAGACATTCTTGCGATGATGAATTAAAACTTAACACTGTGGTCAGCTGTAACTGTGCTTAGCGTTACTGACATAATTCTATGTTTTCCTATTCATGGCACGAGGGTTACCATAGAAACGTCGATCTTTAAATCGGAAAATCGCGGGCGCAGAGTCGACCTTTTTAATTATAATAATAAATATACAATTTAAAATTGCAATTTTTTCGTAATGTAAAATAATAATTAATCGTTACAAGTATACTTTTAACATGAATTAACAAAAGGATTTAATCCCAATTTAAATGCTTTTCAATGATCTTATTAACATAACATTTAATTGTCTTCTTATCCTATATATTACATGAAAATATATTAAATGTATTAGATATAAGGATTATATAAATTTAATGCAATACATAAATCCTTTTTTATTTTATTTCTATATATAATTATAGTATTTGCATATTTAACTTAATAATTGATTGAATAGCTAAATTAATCAATTTAAAAGTCAACAGGAACTCGTCTGTTTTGCTTGATTTGAGAACGAGTTCTCTTCTCATGTAATCTCTCCCTAGCAGCCTTTAACAAATTTTTCCTCTTCCTTTCTTCTGATTCAGGTGATGGTGTAGGTGGCTCTATCAAAGTGGCTCTGATCATCGCTCTTAATTTTTCAAGCGCATCTGCCAGATTCAAATGCTGAGATCTCGTCAATTCTGACTTAATTATTAAGTAACCTTCTTTGTTTATCTTATTTTTATGCTGAAATAATAATTTAATTTTTGAAACTATTTTATCATATTACTTTATAGATAAAAATTTGAATGGATACTACTTTTAATTTTAATTAAGCATAATAGATTTTCTGAAAAAATACATAATAATGTAATATTGTATGTAATATCATCTACCTGTTCTGCTAACTTTGTTCGAATTTCTTCCAACAACCAAGTAGCACTGCTCAAGTGGAATCTTAAATCTACTTTGGTATTTACACAATTCACATTTTGTCCTCCTGGTCCACTACTACTGCTATATGTTATTTTCACTTTGTCCAAGGGTATGTAACCACTGAATTTCGCCTTAGGATCTGGCACCTGTAAGTAATGATCATCGTTCACTCGATATTGAAATTAAATTATTTAAAACAGAATAAATAGTAGCCAGAGCATTACGTTATACGAAAGATTCAATTTAGTATATAAATTTTCTAATAAATCAATATAAAACTAACGAAAGTTGGAGTGTGCAGCTTCAATTTGCTTCCTGGATGCAAGTTCTCCAAAGATAAAGCGCTTTTAAAGTTGGAAGCTTTGCCACAACTGTACGATATATTTCTAACATTATTTTGTAAAATTCTTAAATATTGTCCCCTGACAAGATTCATCTTGTCTCGATTCCTATCACTCTTCAATGGAAATAACTTCTGAAGATTTGTTTTGATGGAAAGACACTTAACCTAATAACATGCTACCTTTGTCTTACATTTTTTTTGGGGGGAAAAATTATCCAGCACCATCTAGACACAACTTACGAACTATTTGTGTTGTGAAGTTCTGTATTATCGATACTTTGTGAAGATAGCATGGAATACAACTCGTGGATTAATTATGTTACTCATTGAAAAACTTTACGAATATAGACACAATGAACCGGGAATATATGGAAATAAAAAATAAAAGGATAAATGTTAAGTTTAGGAGTCTCACCTCCAATTTTCAGCAATAAAATAAAAACAATAAAAAGCGGAAAATTTCTCTCGACTAATGAACATTTTGATACTCATTGATTGTGTATTCAAGCGCAATTTCTTATATTTCAAAAAAATTTAATCTTCTATTTCTAATTTTATGCAATTAATTCTTTGCTCCTATTTCTTTATTATTGTGTCTGGGACTCTAAAGTCCTGCATAATCAAGAAAACATTAGGAAATAAATATTAAATTTTGAAAAAAATTAATAATAAGAAATGAAAATTAAACGTAACGCACAATTTTTTATTTCAAAATTTAATATTTCCTGTTCCTCATATTTTTTTCATTATACGCCTTGTATTTCTAAGAATACATATGATTTATATTTTCATTACCAAAACTAAATGAAAGAATAATTGCTGAGAATTGCTTATTGCCATCGTAGTTAGTAATAGTTGACAGTGGATGGCAGTGGTCAGCGGTAATTTGCAGATATTCGATAATCGATCGTCGAGGATGCGTATCGATCTCCAAAATTCGAATGATATCGCGATAGGAAGCGCGGGAGGAAGTCTGAAAACGATGAAAATTTCAGAAACGTCATCTCGAGATGGCATCATCCTTCGAGCGTTCTCTAAGAGGGCAGAAAACGGCAGAGCGTTACCTTTTTTTTTTTTTTCTTTCTTTCTACGCGCACTTCGACTTAAGCTGCGAGACGTCCCATTTTAATAATCGAATGGCCGGCCGCCGACTTTCGCGGTCGCGCAAAGACCTTTAACAGTCTCGTTGTTGTGCATACGCTTTAAGTATTGGCGCAATAGCGGTTTTGCAAGCGGATTGCGGCACGGAGTGCATTCTGAAAATCACGGTAATAATCGACGCGAGCCTTGCGATCCACCGCAAGGACACGGAACTCCGCGACGTGGCGCTGCGTTTTTTCTTTTTCTCTCCCCGGCGAAATACTGTGACGAGGCCACCTCGCTTCGCGGGTTAACGCTCCGACACGGCGAAAACTGTCGATCTGTTGTTCGCCATCATTTTGTCGAGTTTGTTTTTACGATTTATTATCGAGGGAAAGTGAAAACGGATCGACGTCGAATTACTTCTTATAACTTCTTGTGAATGGGACATAGTAAATGTTATGTTCGTCGCCCGATAATGTCACCGGTAATAAATTATGAGAAGAATGAGATACGATATTCGGTAGTTAATATGATAATTTCCATTTTTCATGAGATCCAAGTCAGAAAGTTGCAGTCGGAATTGAGATGGAATATTCTTTAATACATACAAATTTATTTATGTTATATATTTTATTATACATAAGATTCAAATTTATCACGCAGTTTTTATAAAAAATTATATTGTATTACGAAATTTATATTGTGACGGAAATTATATCGTGACGAAATTGAATTTTGTTATACGCCACGAGTAATAAACAAATAAACATATGTCATATTATTAATAAAACTAAACACCTTTCTATGCATTTTGTTGTTTTAATTAATACGACAATACACTTTTCTTTCTCTTATTTTCGCATTAAGTATGTGCAAATTAAATATACTACTTGCATCAACGTGAAAATAAGTAAGAAATAAAAAGCTGAAAAAAAAAAAACATTATCGTGTGTAAGAGAATAATTAATTTTATTGGTAACATGTTTTTTATCCGCCCGTCAGTCTTTCATACTCTCGTGGCTTATAACAAAATGGCGAGCTCGCCACGTGATTTCGGCAGAATTTTACAAAGTCAAGAACCCGAGTTCCCCGCGATGCGTTACGTAACGTAATTAAATAACGCCCTCGTTATTTACTCGTTATTTACTTGTTATTACGAAACCACCGTTGCCATAGCGATCTGAATGCGCACGTGTGCGCGAATACTTTTCAATTAATTCAGCGAAACGTGTTACACATGTTACACAGGGGGAGCCTGCGTTTTTACATAATATATCGGATTCAAGCGTAATTTCTTTATATTTCAAAAAAATTTAATCTTCTATTTCTAATTTTTTGCAATTAATTCTTCGCTCCTATTTCTTTCATTGTGTCTGGGACTCCAAAGTCCTGCGTACGCTTGAAATTACGCTTGCATATCGGATCTTAATTCCGCGCGGTGACGCCATAGCACCGCATCCCATCTCGTGCGAGATTTCCCGCAGGCCGTTAGATAACGGGACGATCGTTGCGGTTTTGTCGTCGCGTTCGAACGATTGACGCGATACGCCGTGCGTACGATTGATGCGCGAGCTAAGAAGAAAAGGATTAGCGGATTGTACACTTTGTCGCGTGATCATAGTCCGATGGAACGTGTGCTCCAGCCTCGTGTATGCATTACGATTGTCAATAATGAGCATCTAGAAATTTATGCAAATGCACGAAATTCAGAAATACCACTTAACTTATCTAAATGACATCCTAACGTATAATTATATATAATTCTAGTTTAATTTATAATTTCTTAATTATACATCATGCATTTATATCGAATCTCGCATTTTAATCTGATATCTTAATTAAAACAATTTATTCTCTCTCTCTCTCTCTCTCTCTCTCTCTCTCGCTCTTTCTCTCTCGTGATAAAATTCAAAACTTTCAGGAAGGCAAATGAAAAGCCAAGCTTCGAAGGAAGCTCGATGGATATGATGTGGTATCTTGATGACAAGAATGAACGTAACGGAAACGGATAGTTGCACTTTGAGAAAAAGTGCAAAAATAAGTAATGATTAATTTATAGTACCGCTCGTCATTTCCCTCGGCCGAGGGAACGCTTAGATCCGGTTCCGCGAGCGGAACACGTGAGACACGCCGCCTCTTCTTCGCCTGCATAATTAATTATGGAGATACCGGCAAAATGCCGGCAAAGACGCGTCGGCTGTGTGTACCAGGAACAGGCGCATCATACAATTAATTAGAATAAGATACAACGAGATCATTAATTCATCCGGCATTCTCCGGCTGACAATGTGTCGGAAAACTTAGTCATTTGCATGAGAGTGCTCGTCGCCGTAATATACCATTACGGGAATCGTAAACGCGCGGTTTTACCCACCTGTTGACGCCAATAACGTGACACTGCTACCTGCCCGATGACGCCAATAACGATGAGAGACTTGTTAATGTGAGTGATTCGTAGGACTTGTTACCGCCACTTTTCGTATATCCTTCAAATTTAATTATCGCGCTCTTCGCTGAAACAATTTAATCACGCGGATACGTTAAAGGATAATGTAATAAAAGTTAAAAAAATTGTACGGCAATAATTTTTGGACTTATAAACTATTGCAACATTATTTGCGATAATAATAAAAACGGGAGGACCGTTATTTGTTAAATAACGTGATTTTATGTATGACTAAGTTAATAATGTATAGTTGTTGCTATTATAAAAATATATTTTGTCTAAGCTTGATAGCTTTACATAACATAAGTGTAATATTTATTTTCAAATTTATTTGTAAAGGTAACCGCAACGTCAAAGTAACATCTTTGTATTTTGTTGCATTCTTGGTTCTCGATAAGATTCTTGGGGTATAATTTACAGCTAGTTGTTCACGCCACGTTTTTCTTTCCTCTGCGACTTGATGTACGATGCAATCGTGGCCTCCGCGAGCTTCGTAGGAATGATTTCGGAATTGGAGACGAGATAGCGCACGTAAAAACTATTCCACGACCTCTCTATCGTTGCTGCAATGATACTTTCTCTTACAATGACGGAACGCATATATTTATAGAGAACTCGTACGCGGCATGTAAACGGGGAGCTGCACGATCGATAAATATACGCGACTATTTGACATTTCTACGGCAAGTTTGTAGGGAGCAAACTTGCGCAAATTTCGTTTGGAAGTTTATTTTTTTGCATAGTAATAAGACCGACGTATATAAATGTGATTCAATTGCACATGTCTAACGTGTCAATCATGAAATGATAGTGGCTTTTCAAGGTGGTAAATTATTTTTAATGCACAAATTATTTTATTATTTTCGTCATTGTAATAATTCGTCTTAAGTTATTAAAATTATAAAAGTTATTTATAATTTGGAAATATATATATTATTTTTTTTTTGTAATTTTGTATAGTAAACATATTTAAGTATGAAGATAACAAAGTAATAAAAAAAATAATAAATTTGATACGTACGTACGTAAATATATGCGAAGTGTATTTTTAATTTGCATCTTAAAAACATTTCGTTGAATTTTGCGTGATGGAGTTAAAGCATATGCAAAAATACATATACATAATAAACGTTTAGCATTCCTTTCAAAATTGCTAGCCGTGACGATGCAACTAAAAATCTGTTTATATAACTGTCACTATTCTCTTTCACTCTTCTGCGTTCGAATTTCGAGAAAGCGTTGACGTTATATTTTGGGCATTTATTGAATGAATAATACCGAGAATACTGTTATCGAAGTTGATAGTAAATTTTGCGTAGACATTTTTATTACACGCAGCATTGGCAGTTAACAAAATTTATTTTAACACTAACGTTTTCGCTTTCGAAACGCATTTCAATAAACGATTTGCGATAAATATGTTTAATCTATATTACACTCCTTAACAATAATAATAATAATAATAATAATAATGCATTAGGATAAGTGCATTAAGATAACTTAAAATATTTCAAGTTATTATATAATTTTACAGTATTATAATCACGCGATACTATGTTATATAATGGTATATAATCATACTTACACTTATTACATAATCATGTTTTTATCAGTACTAGTCTATTCTGACAATTTTAATGTTTTTTTAATAATTTAGAATAATTATATAATTTTGTTATTTT